GTAGGGAAAACCACTGAACATTAAAGGTGATGCAAAAATAAGAAACATTCCAGGACACAACTTATTACAACCACTTACGTCCAATTCTAGCATCATATTCACCACTTCAACGAGCATACTGTTCCCAACAAATTCTCTAATAGCACTACCCTCCAACATTAGCATATTCTTCAAATATATCTCCATCTGTAAAAAGCAAATTAATAATAAGAACAAACTCTAAACAACAATCCTAGGCAAAAGCTGTCAGGCAGTATTTAAAGGACCCTATTTCAGGATTGATTATCTATAGGACATTGTTGGCCAGGTTAACAGCAATTACAAATAAGAACTTTAATATAAATTTCCCCATCTCGACTAACATCTATTCCAAGATAACTCAAGCACATCCAACGACAGAAAAAGAATCCAAAACATAACAGAAAATTGAACTCACACGACATTTTAGACGATCCATGTTGAAATCCTTCCTGAAGAACATAGGCCTCTTTTGTACAACAGTTGTAGACAATTTCAAGGCTGCCAAAGGCACCAAATCAACAATAACTTCTAGACCAGTATGCACACGAGGAAGAACTTGGTCCCTTTTTGCCTGACCACGTGGATGCCGGAGCATATCTGATTCCATCGGTGGCATAAAATTGTTTACAAGCATATCAAGACATAAATCAACATATTTTCCATTTGAAGCAGCCTGTAGAGACCAAAAATGTATAAATAAATGATGGTGGCCTCACACTCTAGAAATACAGTTGCAAGCAATTTTAAGACTACATACCAGGCATATTATAAGTTCAAGCAATGCATCCATCACATCAGGCACACAGTTCCACATGCTCATTCCAAAAATCTGGCAAGAGAACTACTTATTAGAAAGAAAAATCCAATGACACGGGAGTTAGAGAATAACAAATCCAAACAAAACCAACTTACAGATTGAAGAAGAGAGACATGGTCAACGTCATTTATGTAAGAAACTGCCCCAGATAGTGCCTTTAGACTCGTCTGCAAAGTGAGCACAAACAATATTATCAAATCAGGGAATAGTTAGTTGACTATAGTTGGCTTGACATGCAAATGCTGAATTGACAATTCCATGAATCCTAACTTTCAAATAAGCAATGCAAAACTAAATATAGTTTTGATTCAGAGAAAAAACCCACCAAAAGCAAAGCCACTTTATCAGGAGCAGACCGATCTCTGTGATGCAAAACCCCAACAAGCTGGTGGTAACTGCTCCTGTCACCCTGATCACACCCAAAAAAATTCAGCATACTATTACTTGATTACAAAAATGCAACAAAGAATTGGAAAACAACATGCTTGAATGAACAGATGAATTGAATAAGAATTCAAGCAAGCCAGTGTGGGAAAATTATCATTATTATTATTATTTTGGAAACAGCTAGCTAGAAAAACTACCTTCTGACCCTTACTAGTGTTCACTGGTTGGTTTTGAGTAAGGTCAGAGTCAAACCCAAAACCAAATAACTTTGAGGACTGGAACCGGCCTGTTCTTCAAGAAAGACCAAAATGAAAACCAAACTGAAAAATATCAGTTTAGCTTGTTTTTGTATTAGGGTTGAGGACTCCTGCTCAAAGAGTGAACAAATGGATCGGTCAACCCGAGAGCTTCTAGTTCGCTCAATTTTTTTTAGTATTCAAATGAATAATTCAAGCAAAAAGTAAAAGATGAACCTTCAAGAAAACGTAAAAAAAAAGTAAATGATCAGACCAAGAAAGTAGGGAGTCAGGTGCATAATCAAGTGAAATACAAAAATGGTGCAGCATGCACCATAAACGTGGACAAGCCTTTGTCTCTGCAACTCCACACCCAATTACAAACACAACACTTCTCTCTCAATCTAACTTCCATTCCTATTCGAATCCTAAATTATTTAAACAACGAGTCCCAGTTCTCTCAAACGATGAAGCACCTCTTCTAGACTGAGAATCCAAAAGATGAAGTACAGTGTGAATCCCAAACCCACCATAATCCTGAAATAGTTCATAACTACAGGATCACCAAGTTAGCTTGGTTTATCAATCACGCCAAGCCACTCAACATCCCCGCCTATATGCAATTCCTATAGCAATATGAATTCAACTCTACTGTTTTTTATCGGAAAAGGGATCATAGTTTCAAGCAAAACCAATTTAAACAATTTCTCCTAAAACTACTTATCATTAACTATCAAAAATAAAATTCAAAAACAGAAAACAGCTTACCGTTTTAACAGATAAAAGGGCATCTCTAACATGATAAACTAAATCCCAATCAGTAATACTAACATCTTCCTCCACCTCCTCTTGATCCTCCATTGCTATATATTCTGTATATTGATGGGTTAACTCAACACCCATCTGTTATATCCCCACTTACACTGAAAAAACAATACCCATCAATAAAAACAAAAAAAGGCATCATATTTCGAAACCAAGAAGCACAAGCAAAAAAAACATCTATAAAAAAGCACCCAAAAAAAGAACTTACAGAAGGCGGCTTTTTTTAGCTTGGTATATGGCTTTCTCTTCTCTTTGTGTATGGATTAGTAGTGTGGAGCAGTGACGATCCGACGGTGAAGCTGTGGCGGTGAATTTATGAAGGTGGCGGCTGGCTCTTCTATGTATATGAGTTTGTATTTTGCGTTTCGGCTGCCAAGAAAAGAAGAGTAGCAAAATTCAGGGTTTTGCTACTCCAAGGGATTTTAAGTGGTGTGAGTCGACCTTATTTCTTTTATTTTTATATTGACCTCCAAAACTCTTTGTTTTTTTAATTTAGTAACATGTTTTTGGTTATTTACAAATTCACACCATGTTTGTAAATAAGGTCACAGTGCATGTAACTTTACAAGGGAGGACTCTAACACTTCAGCAATTAGCACCGACTAGCAGGGGTGTTCAAAAAAAACCAAAAAACCGATTAAATCGAGAAAACCGGAAAAAAAAATCGAAAAAACCGAACCAAAAAAAAAAACCGATTAAACCGATTAAAATTTTGAAAAAACCAGCCGGTTCGGTTCGGTTTCGGTTTTATAACCAAAAAACCGAAAAACTGAACTGAACCGAACCGAACTGAAACCAGAAAAAAATCGAGCCAAAACCGAGCCAAACCGATTTGAACTGGTTTTTCCCTTAAAAAACCGAACCGAACCGAAACCGGTCAGTTTGACCCGGTTTCGGTTCGGTTTCGGTTTTTTTTTTTTCAAAATTTTTTTTTCCGGTTTGGTTACTTTTTTTGATAAAAACCAAACCGAACCAAAAATGAACACCCCTACCGACTAGTACACTTTCAGCTGCGCTTTGTTGTGAGTTGGATTAGTTTAAAAAAAAATTAAGTATAAAGATTTTTTTATATAGTATTGTTAAATTTAAATAGTTTGATCTTAAAATATATTATTTCGATTTTTTTTAATTTAATTTTTAAATTAAATTAATGAAACTAATCCAAAATAAATTATTTAATTTAATAGAATAAAATATAAATTGAATAATTAGTAAAAACATGGATTAACTTAAAAAAAACTTTAAGATGTTATTTTTTTATATTAAGATGATACAAGATTGGATCGACCTTGGTTATCTTGCAACTTGGACCATGGACTTCAATAATTTTAATAACTTTGTTATTTTTATAAATTATTTTTATTTAATTTTATAATAATATTAGATGCTTTTAAAAATCAAGCATCAACTTAAAAAAATATTTATTTAAAATCATGATTATCCTATATAAAATAAAAAATAAATCATGAATTTTATTTATCAATCAATCTAATATTAAATAAGAGTGAAATAAAAATAAATAATTAGAAAAATTAAAGAACAAAAAACTAAGAAAAATATATTAGGTTTGATGAGTAAACTTACTGAATTAAATAACT